TGTATACCGTACAAAAGTACGGTATACGTTTTTTTATACCTGAAATACTCTTTGGCACGGATTTCTCCAATCCATGAACCGATATAAAACTTAGTTGGTTGGGTTCTTACTATCAGAGGCAAATTCCGAGACAAAGGATATTCGTGCCAAATTTTGAGGGATTTGGGTGCTAAGTTTGGGACGCAAAATTCTAGACAAAGGTCGTGCCAAGTGTTGACGCGGATCGTATATTCTGTGCCAACACGTTTGGATCGACCCAGGTGGCACGGAATTCTTTTCCGAGCCAAAACCGAGCCAAGAGCGATAGTCTGGGAATTTTAAGGGGTTATCCGAGCCAAAATATGTGCCTATACTGAAGTTATTTAATAGTGTGTGTTACTTACACATCTCTTCACTAGTACTATTAATATTAGGGATTATATATTAATAAAAGAATGACAAATCAAAACCAACCGACAAATCAATCAAAAAAAATTGATCATCATATCGATCAAAATTTAGCAGGATAATTTTCTCTTTTATATCATAGCACTAATTTAACTAATGAGTAACAAGTTCTCATTTAAGTAATATCATCAATTTTAATATTTATTGTATTATTCACTGTATTTTAAATTCCTGTTGAGAATAATAGTTTGGATAATTATTAGTTAGCTAGAGACAGAACTAGAAGAAATATAAGAAGATTTCTGATAGCATGACTGACTATGCTTTTCATCTGTATGATACTTCCTTGTTTGCATTCTCTGTTTTTGAAACTCTTGATTTGAATGAACCTAAAACCTACTAGGAAGCCCTTGCATCTAGAGAATCTAAAAATTGGCTTAGTGCTATGAAAAGTGAAATAGATTTCCTTAAGCTGAATAAAACATGGACCCTAGTTCCTAGGTCTCCAAACTGTTCTGTTGTTGAGTGCAAATGGCTTTTTAAAGTTAAGGAAGAACCTAATGATATTAGGTTTAAGGCTAGGTTAGTTGCAAAAGGTTTCACTCAAAAGGAAGGAGTTGATGACGTGCACTTGTCGTGAGGTGCACTCAAAATAAATACAATACAACGAATATACGTAGTATAATGAAGTAAGGTTCGTATCCACATGGAAAGGAATACTTTTCTTTTATATAAGTAGTAACAAAGGGGGGTTTAGATTTGTTTGATCGAATACTCAATCGAGGAGTATATCCAGTTCATCGAGAGTAGTTATTAATAACGAGATGCGTTCATTAATAAAACTTACTATCGAGTCAATATAGAACAAGCGCCGTATATTAACTTGATAGTAGCAATAAACTTAAGATGAAAACGATTGAGATTGATAACCTCAACACAAGCGGTTTATTGGTTTAATCAATATAATTAATTCCCCTTGGCTTATTAACCATGAGATGCATGCATTAATATTCCATGTTTACTACCGTTGAAAGAACCGGATTAATAACAAGCGTATTAACCGATTGATTCTAGTAATAATTAATATGAGAAACAAAACTAGTTGATACTTTAAGTAATGTTTAAAATATTAATATGAAATAAGAGTAGGAATTAATTAATATTCAAGGAAGAAGATTAAAGAAAATAACTCACAACTTACAAATTCATTAAGCTTCTAAGTAGCGAAACCAAGATGGAAGAGTTTAGCTCCTCATTTGGAGACTAAACATGATGAAAAATATAAAGAAAGAACTATTCTATACTGAGCCTAGATGTACAAAGGAATTGGATATCTTTTTGTGAAGGAAAGGAGGTGCATTTATAGGCTTTTGGGATGAGATTCGGGTACTCGATCGGGTATATACATGGTACCCGATCGAGTATGTGTGTAATACTCGATCCGAGGTGTACTCGATCGGTTTCAGGCTGTTTTCCATAAGTATACCCGATCGGGTATATGTTTATACCCGGTCGAGTATGCTTAGAAAGTGGTATTCGGACCATACTCGACCGATCTTTGCTTAAAACTCAAAGGCATACCCGATCGGGTATGTCGGTCTACCCGATCGGGTATAGACATTAAATCATGGCCGAAATGCTCCCGGCATGTTCCCTTGTCTTCGGATCTGATACGATTTGAAGTTCCAACCTAATACCTGATCGAGTATAGTTAATACTCGACCGAGTATAGACCAAAATTCAGGATCTTCTTTTGTCTTCAAATTTTTGCACCTTCTTTCCACTCTTTGGGTTCACCAACTGTACTTCGAGTGATCAAGACCTGTTTGAGCTCAGAATATATCTAATCTAAACTATTTACAAGAATTTAACAAACTAGTCTATTACACCAAAAGTGTGTAATTTCCATAGTAAAGATCAAGCAAAACTAATTAAAAACACAAACATAAATATGGAAATTACAAATGTATCAGTTGACTATGCTGAGATTTTCGCCCGTGTAGTAAAATTTACTACTATTAGGATGATGTTCGCTTTAGTTGTCCATAATGACTGGGAAATGAAGCAGATGGATGTTACCACTACCTTTCTACATGGTGAATTGGATAAACAGATTTACATGACCCAGTCTGAGGTTTTATTGACCCTAAGAACCCTAGACATGTTTGCTTACTTAGGAAGGCCATCTATGGCCTGAAACAGTCACACAGACAGTTGAACATTAAATTTGACCAATGTATGACTTCCCTGAGTTTCAAAACTCAAAAGGTCTGATTATGATAATTGCTTGTATTTTAAGAATACTGCTTCTGTACCTGTTTTCTTGTTAATCTATGTTGATGATATGCTCATTATTAGCCCCTCTGTGAATGCTATATATTAAGAATGTTCAAAAGTGCATCTGTGAAAACTTTGTTATGAAAGACCTTGGAGATGCTAAGAGAATCCTAGACATTAACATCATTAGGGATAGGAATAGATGTACCCTTACCCTAAACCAAATCTCCTACCTTGATAAGGTCCTGAAAAAGTTTAACATGAATTCTGCCCTTCCTGTTAATGTTCCCCTTGCTCCTCACTTTGTATTAAGTAAGAATTAGTCTCCTCAGACTGGCCCGGAAATTGATAGGATGAAATTTGTCCCCTATTCCAATGCAATAGGGTCGGTCATGTATCTCATGGTAAGCACTGGGTCTGATATAGCCTATGCTGTCAGCTGCTTAAGCAGATATATGGCCAAACCTGGGATGCCACATTGGAATGCCCTGAAATGGCTGCTTAGGTATCTTAAAGGTACTAATTCTCATGAACTTGTATTTTCCAAAACTCCTACTGGTATTTTGCTTACTGTCTATGTTGACTCCAATTATGCAAATGATAGGGACAACAAGAAGTTTACTACTTCATATATCTTTACTCTCTGTGGTTCCTGCATAAGTTGGAAATCCCAACTACAACCAATTGTTGCACTGTCCACTACTGAATCTAAATACGTGGCAGCCACTAAAGCCTTAAGGAGGCCATTTGGCCGAAACGTATACTAACTGAAATTGGTTTTCTTAAGCAGGTTGTGACAGTTTACTCTAATAGCCAGTCAGGTATCCAATTGTGTAAAAATTCAGTATTCCATGACACGACCAAGCACATTGATGTCAGGTTTCATTTTGTAAGGAACATTGTTGATGCAAGATGGATAAAGTTGTCCAAGATAGCTTCTGAATTTAACCCGGCAGCTATGGGGACTAATTGTCTCACTTTTGAAAAACTTCTATCTTGTAAACGAATTCTTAATTTAGATTGTGGCTAGATAAGAACAGATAAAACAAGAAAAATCGGCGATGATGACACTCCCTTTCACAGTTGTGCTCTACACCACCAGGGGGACCAATAAGGTGGAGATTGTAAGTTGGTATTGGTCCACCTCTATTATCCTTTGGCCCACCTCATTAATTCTTTGGTCTCCTAATTAATGAGTCTGGCCCAATTTGGGCTGTCTACGAACCAAGCCCATTCGCCTCTCTTTGTCTTATACCCAGCCCGTGATTTTGTGACCCTTTGATATATTTGTCAGGTTCTTTCTAGAACCTCCTATTTGTTGGTCTCCCCCTTCTCTCTATCCGATGTGCTCTTCAGTGTGTTACCCTAGTCCTAGAGTGAGAGAGTGCATGTATCATCAGGGTTTGAGCTCTTGCTACCCTCCAGTGATACCTTTGGATTCCTATTGGGGGCTTCACTCAGGTCTGGTTGTTTGGGGTTACTCTCCGGTGGGTTTTCTGGAGCTTTGGTCTGGGGTTGGGCTCTATAGTTTAGTGTAGTTGATTGTTGCCCTTTCGTCTTCCCTATTGCAACCTTAGTGGTGAATGTTGAGCAAGCCCTTGGGTTCTTGGTGATTGAGGTCTGAGTCGGCCTGGATTCCCAACACTTAGAAACCAGCACTTAGTGGTACAATTACTAATTGTCTTTTTTATGCTCAGGGACACGGATATAGATATTTTGACAGTAATAGGAGCCATGTACGTCACAGTTTTACTGTTGGGGGTCACCAACAGTTCAACAGTGCAGCAAGTAGTGGAGGTGGAGAGAAGAGTGTTTTATAGGGAAAGAGGAGCATGGATGTACTCGACACTTCCATATGCCTTAGCACATGTGATATTAGAGATACCATATATGATCATCCCGACAACGTTCTTCACCTTAATTGTATATGCAATGTTTAGGTTTGAATGGATAGCAGCCAAGTTCTTGTGGTTCTACTCGGTGAATTTCTTCAACTTTCTCTACTTCACGTATTATGGGATGATAGCCGTATCCCTCACACCAAACCAAAAACTAGCAGCCATTTTCGCATCCTCTTTTTACTCTCTTTTCAATCTGTTTTCGGGTTTCTTTGTCCCAAGACCAGTAAGTAGTCTATGTTAAACCAATCCATTCTTTAAAAACAAATGACTATCTTCTAATGCTCAATTACATATATTAAGACTTGGGGTTTTACATTAAAAGTTCAACATAATAAGAGAGGTGAGACTTGATGTTTTGGTTTGTATCTTTATATTTGGGCAAGACCATCCCAACTCTTAACATGGCACCACAAACATCTTTTCTGATGTGAGCAACTTGATTTGACTATGGTTCATAAAGAGCAATACATTTATAGATTGGTTTCTCTAACAAAAACCATCTCAGGGCATGTTATGTCATGTCATAGCAGTAAAATATAAATGTACAAACTGATATATAAGACGTTGTGCTACACTTTCTATTATGTTGACTTTTTTATATTAACATCAATGATTATTATATACTCTGTATGATATTCAAACATGCATAAACAACACGGTGATCCTATATTTCTTACTTTGAATGGATGATATCTTCAGAAAATACCCACTTGGTGGAGATGGTATAGCTGGATATCTCCTACAGCATGGACCATTTACGGCCTAATCATTGGAGAATACGGAGATGCTGAGGATACCATTAGGGTGGCTGGAACATCTACACGACCAATGGTTAAAACCTACATAGAGGAACATTTTGGCTATGATCCCAAATTCAAGTGGTCTGTTCTTGCAATATTGATTGGGTTTGCACTTTGCTTTGCATTCATGTATGCTTATTGCATTAAGACATTCAATTTCCAGAAGAGATAGATCTACTGGGCACGTAGCTATCATTATTAGTACTTGCTAGTTTCTCTGTCACTTCAGGCTATTTGATGACCACATATATCTTTCGTCTAAGACCGGTCTGCTGTCAATCTGATCGATCTTGATCCGATCTTGATCCTAAACCCATACTATTCCTTTTTTGTCTAATCTTGAATAGCATGTCTAGGGGAAAGTATCCACAAAAAGTTTGATAATTCAATATGACCTCTATTTGAGCAATTTATTGTTAAAAGTTTTGAAATTCGGGCAAAATATGCTTTTTAAGATAGGGGAAATAGGTGGAATGCAGGGAGGGAATGACATCCCTAGTAGAGGAAGCTGAGGAACATCGATCTGGTGTTCTTATCTGCAAATAAGATCGAGGTTTATACTAATTTCTCCTTTAATTATCTGCTAATATGGAGGTTTATCACATTAATGCCAGATTACAGCTTTGTGATTTCATGATGGCCATAATTCGATCAATCACTTCTTCAATTTTTGCAACAGTGAAACAATGATTTGAACAGTTTATTTGTTCACACAGAAAGAATGACGGCGCACTGCTGCTACCGTGTAATATACGAGGAAGAAATAAAAAATAAGCACGATATGATGATATGTATATGTACGGTCTGTGGTGATGATCATCATGTGTATATATCCTCACACAAATAGAGAAGCATAAAGCAGGTGGTTCCAGGTATCAGGGAGTCCAGGCAGGCACCAATGGCTGCAATCCACGCCCGATCGGCTGCCCCCGCCGCTATACATAGACGGGTGTGCATCTTTTCTTAGCTGAGACAGAAATGTGATATCCAGCAGACGAACCGGCTTCTTTATCCTGCTTAGCACTTTATTAACAACCACCGCCGCTTCCGGTGTCCCCGCCGGATATTTTGATACTTCTAGCGGCAATTGCTCTCCGTTGCAGTTTTTGGTTGACGACGACTTCCACTCGTTCCCCCTGTTACGTTATATATCACCTCGGATTATCAACACATCTACTAAGACACTGGACTGGACAGAGCAAAAACAACCTATTTTACTACTTTAAGTGCCTATTCAATAGCCATTTAATTTCTAATAAGAAAATCCTGATATTAAATCAGGTGAGCGAAGAACTATAAAATTCCAGGATAAGACAAAGGGTTTCATCCGAGGCAATCAATGGTGTGGTAAACTCTTACAAAACAAGTTTATAATATATGACATATATATCAACTATATAACTTTACAAGTCTAATTTAAACTACCATTTATAATACTACATACTCAATATTATTTAAAGTTTAATATATGATGGTGTAATTTCATATATATAAGCAATGCTTATAAAAAATACTAGTATTCCTCAAGAAAACCACCTTACTTTTACCCTTCCCAGAACTATTGTCTACCAAATTAAACATTTTAATGCTATAGGCGTATTTGCTTTTTTTGATAGCACAAAACATTACTCCGTATGATAAATGAACGTAGTATTTGAATACCTGAAAAATGATGTGATTTTTAATGATTGAGAGCAAGCAGTAATGAATGTGTACTTACATGTAATGAGTGGGAGAAATTCCTTGGAAGTAGACTTGGGTCTTAGAAGGATTGACATTGAGGTCCACCCATCTGGCCCAAGTTGATAAGCCCTTGTAGAATGCCACCAATCGATCCATATCTTTGTACACCTTTGACCCATCTTGTACATAATCCCATCTACCCGGAAAAATAAAACAATAAATGTTTAAAATTTCCATTATTTTGTTTGGTTTTGGGTTAAACATACTCCGTATATTCTCATTTTGTCATGTTTTATTTATTAATGTATTTAAAAACTGCATTATGTATTTAAAAACTGCATTATGTATATACTCCGTATATACTAATAAAATATTTTCATAATTCAGCAGATTCAATCGATTCAACTAGAATTTCATCAATTTCAACATATTTAACTGATTCTGCTAAATATGTCAATGTTGCTTATTGCCTTATATGAAAGTCAATTCAAACTGGCATGAGCATAAAAATGGCACCAGAAATTCCAAATGGAAAAAAGAAGGGAAAGAAACCTACGGTTGAGATCTTCCTTTATGAGTCCACCAATGCCAGGAGTTGAAGATCAACACATCCATTCCTAACCATGCCTGGCCTTGTTGTATAGAATCCAATTTCAATACCCTTCCTATGTTTTCCCTTACTATATCCACCAAGTATGTTGTGTGGTAAAGGTACAAAGTTACTCCATACCCCTGCAATAAGATATGGTCTTTCTTTTATATATAAAAATATAGACTACCACATACAAATGAAGGATAATAAACACTATTGTTGAACATTTATGAGTGTGGCCCCTAAAAGAAGTAATATTCGAAACTTCACCTAATTCTCTTGAATTTTAAATGAGTCAGCCTTAAATTTTGCATTGATGTTGTCCGGTTGACACTTAACAGGCACTATAGCAATATGATCCTGTTGACTTTTTAGGGCCTCTTGATAATTTATTAGTCAACATTTTATCAAACACACAACTCTTGTTTATGTATGCAGGGACAGAGTCAAGGGGGTCTGGATGGTCAACCGACCCCGCTGAAAGTTTGAGAGTATAAAGATCTCAAATATCTTCGATTTGATATATTATGACTCCCGTAACTCATTATGAGTAAAAAATTATGATTTTTAGAAAATCATCACTATCTAAATGTAATATCAGCAAAATTTGATGCATACTATAGATTAATTTCCCAAATTTTAAAAATAGAGTATAATTCACTCAATACTTACGTGACACGACTCAGAAAACAAATCAAAGACAATCTATCATATTGCTACGAACGTCTATTTATCTAAACTGCATATGAAATATTCAACTCAGACATTGTTTAAAATCGATCCACCATTTCCATTATGTATATAGGATGAGTTTCGACCCCCTGAACCGTTTTTCAGGCTCCGCCACTGTATGTATGATCTGATCTATATAAGTTTGTTCCGATCATCACTCACATATGTAAGTTTGGCCCGATTGAGTATAATTTTCCTTTGTAATTGTCAATAGTATATACGACTGCAAGTGTACCAAAGATTTTAGAATAGTAATAGAGGTTTAATTTCGAAGAGATCAGAACTTTTTTAAGCTACATATGCAGGGCGAATACAGGAGTATGAAATTCTAATATGTTGATATAAAAAAGGTTTTTTTATGAAAGAAAGAAAATGATATCTTGATATTTAAATTAAACAAAAACATTTTGTATATGTATATAAAATAAAGCAGGATAGTTAGATACGTTGTGTACTTGCTAACTTGCATCAACTAACCTTGTTGTTGTCACAATGATTAATTAATGAAATTCACGTGTATTGATCACAACAATATAATGTGAGTGGTCAGTTAAAGTGGCTTTATTAAATTTTAGTTTGTTATTGCACTCTGCCTTATTAATGATGATTCATTGTTTCCTAACAATTATTATATTCTTGATTATGACACTTCTTGTTGATGTTAAGTTGCCAAGCCTGATCCATTTTGCTCGCGGGTAGCCTGAGTCAACGTTTTAGGCAAATCGTTTTCAAGACCTAAATTTGTGTATGAGAAATGGCAAAGGTATCCAAAATGAGGCATTGTTCTTACCCTGACATAATGTGTGGTCATAAATGGAGCAACACATTTAAGTGGTGTCCATAGCTATCAAAGCATCTCCATAACAATTCATAACAATCTTTAATAATCAAAATATTAAGTTTAGCGTTTTTTCATACGAGATTAATGCACCAAAACCCCCTATGATATGGAAATTCGGTGCATTAGCTCCTGTGATTTAAAAAATGTGTTAAACACTCTTGTGTTTTAATTAATTATGCGCAAAATCCCTTCTATGAACAAATTCAATTGTCAAATAAAAGAAAAATGATTAACATTTTTGTATGATTTAGAGATTTTGACATATTTACTTGCATATTCAATCAGAATATTAGGAAAAGTGATTTCAAAATCATAAAATTTATTCATAAAAGGGGTTTTGTGCATGATTAATTAAAACACAAGTGAGTTTGATGCATTTTTCAAATCACATAGGGTTAACGCGCTGAATTTCTATATCACGAGGGGATTTGGTGCATTAAGTTATGTTCATGTAAATTTTTCTTTATTTGATTAGCAAAACACCATCTATACCTTAATTATAATTTATTCTCAACTCATCAAATTCAGCCTCTTCAATCGCTTCAGTCATTATTTCATGAATTTCAGCAGATTTAATCAATTCACCAATTTAAGTATTCTCTTCTAAATTTGTTTAAAATGATAAATTAACATGTAACTCTTCCTATCAAATTGACGTTTTCGTATAAAATTTCAAATGTTATAGATACTCCGTACTACGTATGCATCTGTTTATCATGCCAGGTTTCATTGGGGCTTAGTTGTTTATTCGGCACATGAATAGCTCATTCAGATTCTGCTTGACCATTTATCCGATTTGCTTAGACCATTTAGCCACTACGCTTATAGTTATACGAAGTACTTGTACTTCTTATTATTAATAATAATGCTTCATTGAAAATAAAGGATGAAAGTGTCTTTGAAACTTTTATTTCACTACAAATAAGTAGATTTCTGAGATCTATCTTTCATTCGTAACCAAAACAAGAAAAAGAAGATGATATTACCAACTTTCATCCATCATTTATTTTGCTCATTGAAGTGCAAGGAAAAAAGGTTCATCATTTATTTTAGTCCTCATTAAATGCAAGAAAAAAGGGGAAAATAATGACCACAAGCAAAAGGGCATATAGGATCAGAGACATAGAAGCCAGCAAGACAGAACATACATAAATAGTGAATTAAGAAATGGGTGGTAAAAACGAGGTAGGAACAGAGAATCAAACAAAGGGCAGCTGACCTTAACGTTAAAGGACACAAAGGAGAGGGTTTCCTGTCTTGAAAAGCTTGTCTTTGCATTTGGCACCGACGCATGAATCATGCAGGCCAGCGAGTTCCACATGTTCAAACTCAGTGAGTCGCCCACAAACATTATCTTCTTCCCGTTCCATCTCTTCAAAAGCTCCAATCCATCAAACCTATATGTTTTTCCATTTTACAACTTAGTAGTTTATAAACCTCAATTCGTAATACAAGTATTTGGATATAAATAAATTAGCTTATAAGGTGTATGTAAGGTCGTGCGGGTTATAATTCCTCACTAATATGTGAAACAAGGTGCATCTAGTTTATGATGAAAATGGTATTGATGTTATAAATCAAACAACCTTTTGTTACTCTCATTTCATATACACCAGAAAAAGCTTTAAAAAGTGAGAGCCCATTTGGTAACACTAAAATTGGCTGAATTGACTGATTCTACTGAAATTTATGAAGTTCTGGCTAAAGTTGCTATATTGACTGATTTTGCTGATTCATAAAAAGATTATATTTAAAATATTTGTTATTAATAAAAAAAATAAAAAATTATATGAAAAAATAGCTAAAATCATCCTCTAGAGTAACTTCAACCAATACAGACGCAAAATTACTCCAACCTTACTTTTTTTGCTTATTATATAACTCAGCGCGCAAAACCAAAAATTACGTGTTTGGTCAAAAAGCTGACTAATAAGCCTGATAAGTCGAAAAAGGGGTCACCAAACCGGCTCTCAATATCAAATATTTATAAATACGGACTATTTGACGAGTAATGTGTTCAATAGTAGTGTGTACGAAAGATCAAAGCGAACCCCTGTTTATGGGAGAAAATTCTTTAAAGAGTACTAAAATATAGTCAAAATGCATTAGGAGTCATTATGGGAGTGTTTGGATCTAATTCTTAAAACTGCTTCTGCTCCTTTAGGGAGCAGAAGTAGAAGTTGAAGTGTTTGGGTGAAAATGCAAAAGTGATTCTAGTGCTTTAATTTACTCCTAGAATCAGTTTTTTTAGAAGCTGGGGGGTACCAGCTTTTGAAAACTGATTCTGATTCTGCTTTAAAAAAAGAAGCAGAAGCAGAATCAGTTCCAAACACCCCCTATATTTTATTCCAAAATTATGAGTCATTCACTCTTAATTGGGAAGTTTTATACTACCTCCGTCCCCCTCAAGTTCGAGACAAAGGGGTGTGGTGTAGGTTTTAAGAAAAATGGAATTGTGTGGTTGATACTGAATTGATAAAGTGTAAATAAAGTAAATGGCTTCTAACCAATCAAATGTTACCAAATATGATATGAGAAAATCTTAATAGGACAAACGAAAAAGGTAAAATGGGACAAAGCGAGGGGGCAGAGGGAGTACTTTACTATGACTAAATATAGTTAGTCTAATATGTGTACTTTATCTATTATTTAGTCCTAATTTGAGCAATATTTTTTACTCCTTTCACTAGTCATGATTTTTAAAACTTCTTTGGGTATGATTTTTACCCATGATTTTTAATTAAAACTAACTCTATTACTGTGGTCACTAGTCCTTTCGTTTCTGTTTTACCTTCCTTTTTAGTTGTTCATTCCATATTTTCCTTTTTGAAAAGAAATGTGTATTTCAAGTCATTTCACTTTATTAAATTAAATTTCAATCACAATTTTCACCTTTCAAGCGATTTATTAATAATTATGCAAAAACAATACTACCTAAGTACCTAGTTTTGTCCCTTATATTTTCTACTTTTTATCTTCTGTTTTTTACTTGTTCACCTTTTCTCCTACTTTTTTTACACTATTCATTATTTCTACTATTTTTCTCTTTAATATTATGTCAAGACTTATTGTAATGATTTTTAAAAGAGAAAAATAATTTAAATACCCCAAATTTGAAGCAGTGAGAGATAAACATCCTAAACTTTATATAAAAAGTTATTTTAGCACCATGATCATGTATTATTTTTTTTGAAAAATGTAAATTTATAATGTTAATTGCATATTATAAAATAGCAAAGTAAAAATTCTGCAATTATATAGAGTGGGGGTGGTATTGTTTATTTTACAATGGAAGTCTACAATGTTAATTATATCTTCACGAATGTTAAAATATACTCCCTTCGTTCCATAAAACTTGGTCAATGTTGACTTGCACGTAGATTAATAAAGTAAAAACTGTGTGGTTATATTTGTGAAGAGGGGAGAGAAATAACTTGACCCACATATTTGTTACTTTAAATGAAAATGAAAAAACTTTTTGGACGGCCAAAAAAGGAAAGTTGGTCAAATTATATTATGACATTAACACCAAAAATTGATATTTTCAAAATAAATAATATATGACCATATTGCTAAAATAACTTTTTATATAAGGTAGAGATAATTAAATTACATATACAAGTTTGGAGTTTTTACCTCACACTTAAAAGTTTGAGATATTTTCATTATTTTTTCATTTTTTAAATAAGGAGAGATTATATATAAAAAGATCAGCCCATAATCCCCCGGTCAATTCTTCTATACTAGTATTAACTCCATATCCCAATCGTACGTTTTAAACACAAATAATAGATATACGGAGTATAACTTTAGTCACAATATATGAAAAATTAATATTTCAGCCCATAATTCCCGTCAAATTCTCCGCTTACCAAAGGAAACATTCATCAAATTTAATATTTTTCAGCCCATAATTCCGGTCTAATTATCGAATTACTTAATTGATTAAATCAGAAATAAAATAACCTGGGCAAGGCACAAGCGTCGGGCTGCCAGGCGTAGCTGAGGTAGAGCCTATCCGGGCGGCCAAATTTGATGCAGTCAAATTCAGGGTCAAGAAAGGGGCAGCTGGCGGGCTGATACAGAGGATACGAAGAATCCACCGCCCATTTCCCTCTGAACAAGTTGCACTTCTCGCCGGCGCCGGCGCCGTTGCTGACATTATTGCTGTTAAGCCCCGCCGTCAAACCTCTTGCTTCCTGGCCTTGCAGTAACAGAAGAAGGAGAAGGAGAAATTGGGTACCCGCCAATTCTACTCCCAGTTCCAACACTCTACAGCTTGAAATGACCTTAAGCCCGGCGGCGCCGCCCATCTTTGGGTTTTGGCTCGGACCACTTTGTGAGCTGAACTGTGCCTCGAAATCAAGATACATATATATATAAAGAGGACGGCGAATAAATTATGGACAGGATAGAAAGATGCCTTTAAAGTAGGTAGGGGAAATTACTTGGTCCAATATCTTTTCTCTTGTAACAAGAATGGTACCAAAATATCATTTTATTTAGAATGGTACCAAAATATCATATTGACAGTTGCACCGGATTTTTGTATGTCATCGGATCACAAGTTTGCTCGTTTATTTTAGGTAGTTATTGTATGCATTTACTAAAAATATTTACACCAAGAATACCAAACTACTTTAACACATAGGTCTTGTTCGTTTCCTATGGAACAAAATCATTCATCGGGACTTGCAACGGGTGCTCTTTTGGTTGATCCAGAATCTTATAGACGACTTATTGGTCGTCTTATTTATTTGTCCTTCACTCGCTCGGATTTGGCATATGCAGTCCATATTTTATTTAGCGTATTGGTGGTCCTTATTTAGAAGGAAATAATGATGCTCTTATTTGTGCACTATACCAATGTTTTATTCCTATTATAAGAAATTAACTCTATTATTATCAACTGCTAAAATCCCACCCTCCAATTATGTGATGATTCTGAATCGTTTTATTGTTGATAGTTAAATCATTCTTTTTTTCAAGTTCTCATTTTGAGGAGCACATTCAGAATCTAACTTCTTTAAACACACAAATTTTCCATTAAACATTTTCTACGTAGTGCCGCATTATCTAATCTTCTCCTGTTTTTTTTCTTTGCCCTATTCAGATTTAATCATTTTTATTACACCTTGAAATTAATTTAAATTATAAATTTATTTATAATTAAGAAATTTTGTATAACAAAATCAACAAATTAGAAAACTAACACTCAATAGATAACAAACAATAATTAAGAAATCAAACAATCAACTATATATGAAATCAATTAATAAACTAATCAAATAATCATATCAGACTAATCTTCTTCCAAGTGGAATTGTTTTATGAAACTTTGTGAGCATATTTTTCATAAAATGTAGATTATGTTCATAAAATTTCAGCTTAAAATTCATATCGAGAAGTTATTTAAATAAATTATTGAAAAAAGTTGAGCAAAATATGCATTGTTTTTCAATAGTTTATTTAACAGATTTCACGATTGATGATGGAGTATATGGCCCAGGGACCTCCGGCCCACATACTTCCTCTACTACAATCAGGCCCAACAGGCCCAAACGGGCCAAGCCCAGCAAAATGGAGCTCTGAGCAGCCCACAATACGCAAAGGGGTGCCTTCGGCCCTATGGCCGAAGGCTACCAGTGACGGAATCGAGCTCAGAAACATCACAGGAGAACAAAGCTTGAAAACCAAGCCTTCGGCAACTGCAGCCCTCGGCAGGTAGGAGCCCTCGGTTAGAAGAGGCATCACAGGAGAACAAGTCTTGAAAACCAAGCCTTCGGCACCTGCAGCCCTCGGCAGGTAGGAGCCCTCGGTTAGAAGAGCCTTCGGCCCAACACCCTTCAGCCGAAGGCATCCACCTCGACAGAATATCCTCTTCACATGCGCCTTGATCACCGTACCAAGTACAAACGTCACATCCAACCACCGCATTTAATGCGGCCACATGCGAGTGCCAGTGCCACCCCGGTCGAGGTGACCCCTCGACCACCAGAAAACTGACACGTGTCCTTATCTAGCATTTATTACCACTATAAATAGCACCCCTTTCCCTCATTGTAAACCACGCTTAATACATATCGAATATACACTCTCTCTCTCACTTGTTTGCTCTGACTTCTCTCTAGTTATTCTCCGCAATAACCCCTCGGATAAGCTACCCCCCGGGTACACTATCCATCATTTGGTGCTCTCGTTGAGAGGTCGAACGATCAAGTAAGAAACCCTCCCCCTTCGCCAAACACCAGCCCTCTACCAAAATGGTGAGAACAACACGTGCCAACTCCAAAAACGTAGAAGACAAGAACCTGGCCCTCGGCGACGTCAACCCCCCGAAGCCTCTCACAAGGCTCCCGAGGGCGGTGTCATCGCTGGGCTGGAACAGGCGGCTGTCGACCTACGCCTTCAGATCCAGCAGAATGCCCCCGATGCCCGCCTCGGCATCGAGGCCAAGAAGAAAAACCGGAGCGATGACCAAGTCAGCCCTCCGGTCCTCACCATCGACGTTCATTCGGCACTCTCCGCCTTCATCCAGACGCTAACTCAGAACCCGGGTGCCTTCGGCACCCTGGCTCTGGCTCAACCCCAGGTTGGGGAGAACATCGTACTTCCCCCTCTGCCACACCCCTTCGGAAACCCCATCCCTCGGGTTAGGAATGACGAAGGGGTAGTGGCCCAAGACACGGCCTCCCAGGAAGTTCAGTCCCGGGACCGCCACAATGACAACAGAGAAAGGCCCCGCACTTCCGCCCTCAACCGGCTCGGAGGGGGGCAAGACCGCCGAGGGCCCTAAGAAAGCGGAGGGTCTGTCTCGAGGGCAGACGAGGAGCGTCCCCTTCGGGACAAAGGCAAGGCACCCCTTCATGCCGACGATGCTCGCCACCAGATCAACCAGGCCCACTCGGCCCGGGTTCGTTCGCAGGGGGCGGAGACCCTCCCGAAGGACCCCCGGGACGAAATTATTGCGGCCCTCCAACGCCGACTTGATGAAATGGAGGCCGACAAAGCTCACGCCACCACCTCCACCCCTCATTCAGACCTCAAATACGAGGCCATGATGGCCAAAATGGAGGAATTACAGAAGAAGGTAGCCGAGGGCTCCGGGGAACCCATCATCCAGCTCCGGACCCGGACGCCATTCACCCCAAGGGTATTGGCGGCCCAAATCCCGGAAAAGTACCGAGGGCAACTCATCAAGCCCTATGAAGGAAAAACTGACCCCCAGGAGCACTACAACAGGTATCAAAACAGCATGATGATGATGGGGGCATTAGATGAATACTTATGTCGTTGGTTCCTTTCCACCTTGGAGGGACCAGCATACGAATGGTTCAATCGATTGCCCGAGGGCAGCATTGACTCTTGGCAAGATCTTGCCCAACGCTTCCTCACCCATTTTGCCGGAAGGAAGCGCGCGAGAAAGCACTTCTCCCAGCTCCTCTCCGTCAAGCAACAGCCTGACGAAACACTTCGGTCCTTCATTGACCGGTGGATGAAGGAGACACACGAGGTCGAGGGCGCCGACGAGCGTACCCTCCTCGTCCTCTTCCAGGGGGTTTTCCGCAGCAGCCCCTACGCACGGAGCCTCATCACCGACCCCCCAAGATCATACCTCAGAGCACTCCAGCGGGGGAGCCTATACGCCGACGCCGACGACCTCCACTCCTTCAAGAAGAATGAGGGCCAGCCCTCGAAGAAGATAAACAACACGCCGGCCCCAAATGTGCCCTCGGCCGGAGGCCGAGACCATGGAAGCCACACCCAGCAGGGCCGTAACGAACGCCAATGGCGCCCTCGGCTGGACATGCCAAGGACTCCCCTCACGCACCCGGTGAGCACTATCCTCAACTATGCGGAAGAGCAGGACCTTTTCCCCAAGGACCCTCGGTCGGCGAGGGAGATCTACGCCATCCACCAAGGCGGCACTTATTGCCGTTACCACAAAAGCACCTCCCACAATACAGACGATTGTGTCTCGTTAAAGAAGGCTATTGAACTCTTAATTCAACGGGGTGAGCTCCACCAATTCATCAAAAATGCCCCAAGGAAAAACACCGGGGAGAACACCGATAAAGAAGAAGGGGACACCGCAACAAAGAAACATGAAATCGGGAGGCTCAGTGACGGAGAGGAGTTCGAGGAGCCCCAGCCGAAGAAGCGCCACCTCCGCTAATCATGTTCCTCACCTTCGGCGTTAGTCTCAGCCTTGGGCCCTCGACCTCGAGGCACATTACCATCCCCTCGGCCTAGAGCCTTCGGCCTTGAGCGATGAATCTTAATAAAGCCGTTGTCAAACAACGCATCCCTTGTATTCCGCTTATTTCTATGAATTTAAGTAAACTACAACACAATCCAGACATCTTATCGGCCCCTTCGAGGCCAAATGCCCACGTATGGCCGATGGTTTCTAAAGACGAGGGGCCTGCAAAAGGCCCGCGTTTTTGGAGCAGGACGCTCGCCGCGTCGCCGGCGCGCAACGCACGGTGACAGGCCTGAAAGAATGGCTGAGGTGACGAAATCCCCAAACTTGGGGGTGAAACGGCAGTCGTCGGAAACCGACCAAGCCTAGCCCGCGCCGTAAATAGACGACGGGACCCCCCAAGGTCAAGGGACGGTTCAGCGCCGGGGGACTAACAGACGAACCCCCGGACGGATCACTTGGACCCCCTTCCGGCCGAGGCGGGGAAGCAACCCCCTCGGCCGAAGCCTAGAAGAAGGAACACACATCAGGAGGACTAACATATGACCTCCTGGCACAATCAAGGGACGGCCTAGCGCCGGGGGACTAACAGACGAACCCCCGGACGGATCACTTGGACCTCCTTTCGGCCGAGGCGGGGAATCAACCCCTCGGCTGAAGCCTAGAAGAAGGAACACACATCAGGAGGACTAACATACGACCTCCTGGCACAATCAAGGGACGGCCCAGCGCCGGGGGACTAACAGACGAACCCCCGGACGAATCACTTGGACCTCCTTTCGGCCGAGGCGGGGAATCAACCCCTCGGTCGATGCCTGAAAGAAGGAACATACACCCAGAGGACTCCTAGAACTATCAAGGAAAGGCCCTCGGCCTCAATTTGATTCCACGTCACCAATGGCCCTCGGCCTTGGCATGATTCCACGTCACCAACGGCCCTCGGCCTCAGCGTGATCCCACATCACAACGGCCCTCGGCCTCAACATCAGACGGCCCTCGGTCTCAAAATCAACAACGGCCCTTGGCGTCAACATCAGGACGGCCCTCGACCTCAGCATGATTCCACATCACAATGGCCCTCGGCCTCAACATCAGACGGCCCTCGGCCTCAACATCAACAACGGCCCTCGGCCTCAACATC